AAACCAAGTTAACAGTATCCGTCATGTAGGAGATTAAGGAATGTTGTACTGATAGACATAATCCAAGGGGTCTAAAAGCTTTTTCCATAGCTATCAAACATTGTAAACTTCTAAAAATCTTTGTAAGATGACAGAGTTATGACTAAATAGGTGCTGTTTTGTTTCCTTGTTCTTGTATGCACTTGGAGTTTGCTAAATATGTGCGAGAAAGTCTAATGAGCAGAAATTTTCCATCGGTCTTGGGCTCTTTTAAGTTTTAAGTTTGCTTATGATACATTTGATTCCTTTCTATGAAGTTTGTGTTCTGTGGAACAGTAGCCAACAAAGCTGGGTTGCATAACCTCGGAGAGCTGAGGATGGGTGAGAAAGTCACTGCGGCTCCCACGGTGAAGTAGAAACGATGAATTTATTGCCAAAAACGTGGATTTGGAATGGAAAAGTTGGGGGCTCTTCTTCTACCCATTTTGAATTATGTCATCGTAGACCCAAACCCACAGTTCCCATACATCTCTTGTGACAAGGTGACAGAACACCATGATGGACATTTTCCCTCTATGGGTGGCCCTCAATGGAACCCCAACATTTCTGTTGCCAAGCGAAACCTTGGTTAAGTGAATTTTGTTCCATTTTATGACCTTTCTTGTCTCAGTTAAGTGAATCACTGCCATTATTACATTAATCACTTGGTTTTTCCCGAAGGCCGTCACTCTGTTAAACAGCTAATTCCCACAACACTGTCAACTTCGTTACTAACTTAGTTACTAACACTTACTTTGTTACTCTATTCCTATTATTCCTCTCATCCTTCCTATTACCTACCTCTTCCCACTTATAATTATGTAGCTTGCTTGTATCTTTACAATTTATATTGTTTTATTTGTTTCCTAGTATGTTTTGATTGCATATTAGTAACCTATGACTATCACTAACTGTTGTATCTTATGATTCTTGATGAATATATTTTTCTTTTAATGTACAGTGAGAGCTTATGCACCAAAGATAAATTCCTTGTGTGTACAATCACACTTCGCCAATAAAAAAATTCTATTCCATTAAATGAATCTGGCCTTCCCTATTGGTTTTGCTTGCCAGAAGGTGTTATGTCTCACCTTTACAAAGAAGATGATAAGTCCAAAACTCCGACCAAATACAAGCAGGCAAGAAGATTCAGTATTTACAGAGTTAATTCCTTTGAGCCGGCAATGTTCTTGGCAGTATCACACACGCTGCTTGCCAAGTCCGACAAGATAACAGAAACATTAATCACGAAAGTTTTCAAGAAACAGGATACACCGAAGCTCCACAGAAAAATTCACACTTTGTCCCGTACAGAGTTCCCAGAGCAAACACACCCACTTTTATTCCCTGTGGGGTGTGTCACTAAGTCAGCTCAGTCTCTGATTCGTCCACGTCTCCTGCGTTGCAGCTCACACTTTTTCCTGCGACGCTACCTAGCATCAAGCCAGCATTCGTCTGCTTGATTCTCTGTCAGAGGCTGCTCCGATATGCCCTCTTCCTCCTCCTGATTAGCCTTAGGCTGTCCCTCTCGGTTATCTGGCGAAACCTGAGGCCTAATCATGGAGAAAGGCATTGCCGAAGAGGAAGGTCCTGGGGAGGAAGGCATTCCCAATTCTACCTCCTCCTCATCTTCCCAGTCCTCTTCCTCCAAGAATGCAGACTCAGGACTCAGAGCCACAACAGAAGGTTACAAAAGATGTTCACAGGAACACCCCACACCCCAGAACGCTACACATGTCATAAATATGAGTCAGTTGGCGAACCTCTGAATTTTGATCACATGACCATGGGGGAATGCTGCAACAGTCATAAGTGTCGAAAATGGCCGTAAGTCACTTTTTTCGAGTGCTGTTGCAACTTCAGTCACTAAATGAACTGTTGAAAGTCAAGGATACGCTTCCAAAATTGGGCAGCGTTATTAGAAGGAGCTGTGCAGAAGAGGAAGGGTGTCAGGATTCCGGTGATTGCCCTAATTAAATTGTGAACGTGGAGCCAAGCTTCAAAAGAAACCGAAAGATTTATTAGGAGCAACATGTCCGGCATTAACCTGTATGAAGCCAACTCTGGCAACTTTCCTCCTCCCCCCCCCCTTTGTTTATGGCAACTCTAAAACAGGCATAGGAATGCTTTACGAGTTGACAAAGGGTTGCTGATTGACCATGGAGTTCAATTCTTCTTAATGGAGGACAAGTTAGGTGCCAGGAGTTTATTGTCATTCTGATATGGTGGCTTTGCTCCATCAGAGCCTTACAAATCAAATCAAAGGTGATCTAAGATAGGGAACCACCTCCTCTTATTGAATACCTCACACCAACTTATTGCCAATTCTGTGGCCAGGGAACCTTATGGAGGGCTGGGTTCAGTTCCACGATTCCATACCTGTCCCATTATCCTGCTTTGCAAGAATTACTCTAGATGTCTGTGGAGATTCTCAGATCATGGTTGTCCCAAAGATGCTTTTTTTCCAAGAGGCAAACTGGACTTTCCGGTTTTTTCTTTTGAAGACGTTTCGCTTCTCATCCAAGAAGCTTCCTCGGCTCTTGAAGAATTGAGCTGAAAAATACTGAGCTGAAGAAGCTTCTTGGGTAAGAAGCAAAACGTCTTCAAGAGAAAAACCAGAAAGTCCAGTTTGCCTCTTGAAAAAAAAAAAGCACCTTTGGGACAGTTACTCTAGATATAAAGTCAGTTGCTTTTGGACCCGGATTCCTTTTAAGCAAAGGAAAAAGTGGGTTCAGGGGGTAAGGCTTGCGTCCTTTCTTCCAGATCGAAGCTGGCAAAGCCATCCCTGTGGTTTCTTCCCTCCACTTTTGGGATCACGAAAGGTTGAAGTTCTGCTAAACAAACACTCCAATGCCCTGTCTTGCAGCCAGGGTATGGGACACAATGTTCATGGTTTATACCATTGTAAACTTCTACAGGGCAGAAGACAGGAACAATTCACGTAAAAATATTGGGCAGTTCTCCGTAAGTCTTGGCTGGCTCTCTTGAAAAGTTCAACCTCCTTCATATATACTGATTTATAGGCTGCTTAATTTGGGGAGTGCTTGCATTCGTCTCCCTTGAAAAACACTTAGCAACTCAGTACAGCTTCTTTTTATTACTCTGGGCAGGGGCTGCTATCTCCCAATTTTTCCAGCCAGAGTCAAAAGGCAGGAATTAATATTGGGGGAAATTAGCACGGAGGGATGCCCTATGTGGGCTTTCCTGATTAAATAAAATAAATGTAAAGGAAAGGGAAGTTGATTGATTGATTGATTGATTGATTGATTGATTGATTGACAGGTAAATAGGTAGATAGGTACGGAGAGAGAGAGCCATGGTGGCACAGTGGTTGGAGTGCAGTACTGCAGGCTACTTCTGCTGACTGACTGCCGACTGCTTACAATCAGGCTCAAAGCTGACTCTGCCTTCCATCCTTCTGAGGTTGGTAAAATGAGGACCCAGATTGCTGGGGGCAATAGGCTGACTTTGTAAACTGCTTAGAGAGGGCTGTAAAATCACTGTGAAGCAGTATATAAGTAAGTACTATTGCTAAGTGCGAAGGAAGGAAGGAAAGGAAGGAAGGGAATACAGTATTGCAGACTAACTCATTGCCCACAGCCAGGAGTTTGATCCTGACCAGCTCAAGGTTAACTCAGCCTTCCATCGTTCCAAGATGGGTCAAATGTGGACCCAGATTGTTGGGGGCAAGAGGCTGACTCTGTAAACCGGCTGTAAAAGCACTGTGAAGTGGTATATAAGTCAAAGTGCTATTACTATTGCTATTATACTTAGGATTTATGATTTTGTTTATTTATGGCCCATGCTTTAACTATTCGCATTATAAATACTTTAGTGAGCCATTGTCAGCATGTCATTAAGTTTGGGTAGATTTAGCGTATCAAATTTGATTGATCAATTAACGTCATGCCTCTAGAAGTTTAAAATTCTGCTTTTCTGCCCTTTGTTTTTATTTCATGGCCATCTGGTTTTAAAATTGCTCCGATCCAGCGTGGTCATGTTCTGATTTGATGGACGAGACACGACTCAAGGGAGCGTGGGGGCTTGCTTCTCTTTTTATAGACACAATTGGTGTATTTTTGCTCGCCTAGTTGTTCTGAAAATACTTTCTCAAGCACCTCCAAAGTCAGTCCTCCTATGTCTGGGTCATTTGTATTCTTCTTTTGGGTTTGTTTATTGTCTGCGATGTGTCTGCTATGTAGAGGCAACTGTTCTAACTTAATGCATCAGGAAGAGACATGTTAACAGAATAACAGAATTGGAAGGGACCTTGGAGATCTTCTAGTCCAACTGTGTGCTTGAGCAGGAGACCTTATAACGTTTCAGACAAATGGTTGTCCAACCTCTTATTAAAAACCACCAGTATTATTGGAGCACCCACAACTTCTGGAGGCAAGTGTTGCATTGATTATTCAGGAATTGGTTCTCTCTGTCAGGATTCTGGCAGTTACTCCAATTAAATCATGAGCCTAGAGCCACACTCCCAAAACCTAAAAAGAATTATTAGAAGTTAACATGCCAGCATTAGCCTGAGATACATAATTCACTGTCACCCTTGATACTGCTTTTCCCACAACCCCTCTTGAGCGTATCATCCAACGAAACACATCCATAGCCGAGAGTCATCCATCATGCTCTCCAATTAGATTTTTGCAGGGCAGAAACTTCAGTCATCTAATCAGTCTCTGAAGAAAATATGAATGGAATGTACTTTCAATTCCACACTGCTGCCTGCTCTTTGAAACCTTTATAGTTGTCACTCTCCTTGATTAGTTTCCATTCATTGGTTCTTGTTCTGCTTTCAGGTGCTTTGAAGCTTCCAGGGTATGGGTGTGTATGTGTGTGTGTTTAGTATGTTCATGTGAGTTCCAAGCAGCAGTAGTACCAAAATAATTGTTCTACAAGTTTGGACTCAAGTACCTGAAAGGAACAATACTTGTTCCTACAATTCCCTTCTCTTATTTGTATTTTTTTCCCTACAGGTGGGTTGAAGTCCAAGTAGATAACTTGACCTGCACCCAGTACTGGGTGCAGTATCTTCGGCTGCTCCAGGAATCCATTTGGCCTGGCGGAGTCTTACCTGGGGTGCCCAAACCACTTAGGACGGAAGAGCAGAAGGCCGAGACTAAGGAACAGGCCCTGAAGATTCTCATGGCAATACTGCCTGGTGGGTGAAGGCCAGACATAAGGGGTTTTCCTCCTTGTAGAGCGTCGTGGGAATGGCCTGGTGGGACAGTCCTAAAAGTCATTCCCTGATCCTTGGGAAAGGTGGCAGATTTAAGAAGAGACCCAATCTGGCTTTTCCCTGAGTCATTGGGGAGGGGGAGAAAAAAAATAATTGGACTTACAAGATAATCAGGGAAAATAAAACATACTAGAACTATGTGTCCATGGAGATTCTCAATCATCCAGGTAGTAGTAGTAGAAATAGGAGGAGGAGGAGTATTCTTGGAGGAGAAGTGAAACATCTTCAAAGAAAAACCAGAAAGTCCAGTTGCCTCTTGAAAAACCACCATAATAGAGCTACCTCACTAGCACTGATGATGTTACCTAGATAGGTCATAAAATGTCTTCAAAAAAGCCACCAAACTCAGAAAGCACCAAGGACCCCTCAGTTCAAACCTGAGCTGTAAATATTATCTTTTATCAGAGAGTATCTTAGTACAATTCAATGCTAGTCTTCTACGGTCTCTTTCCTGGTTTAGGTAATCCCCAAGAGCTAACGCACCTTAACTTATAATACAAATAGAGCTGAACAAAATAATAAGAAAACCATGAACATGCAAAATTTTCCCCCAAATGGGCCTCTTTCTTGGCTATGTCTCATCTCCATCATTTTTTCTAATCCAGCATGCTAATAATAATAAAAACATAATCATGCCCATCAAATGAGGCTGTTGGTTTGAAATCTGTATACTCCCTGACAGTAGGTGTCCTGTCCATTTCTACATCTCTAAACATTTTTTTAAAAAAAAACATTTTATTTATTTGTACGTTGAAAAGACATACCGTACACAGCACACTTTAAAAAAACACATAAAAAGGAAAATCACAAGAAACAGACATAAAACATCGATGTTCCAAAACATTAAAAGGCCTGGTGAAAAATTATGTTTTAAATATCTTCCTAAAACCCTAAATAAGCAAAAGAACAGCTTGTTCCATAACATGGGCTCTGCTCTGGAAGAAAGCAGAATTAATCATTAATGTCAAAACAGAGATATTTCCCTAAATGTGCTCTGTGAAGTCTATGGAGATTCTCAGTCGTCCAGGTCATGGTTGCCCCAAAGGTCCTTTTTCAAGAGGCAACTGGACTTCCTAGTTTCTCTTCGAAGATGTTTTATTTCTCATCCAAGAAGCTTTTTCAGCTCTGACTGGATGTGAGGAATGGAATGATTTATACTCTTGCAGACAGTTGGACATTTGCATCCTTTTTAGAGAATCATTAAGGCCACTTGGAGGTTTATTCGGGGTCACAGTAGTATAAATGGGTGAGGAGCCTTCTTGGAACTGCAGAAAGGAGATAGATTATGTTGTATCCCTCCCCCTCTGTTGAGAGAGAGGCCTGTTCAGTGTTGACATAGATGGCCTCTTTGACCCCTCTTTCAAACCAGCGGTCCACACTGTCCAAAATGTGGACTTCGCTATCTTCAAAAGAGTGGACTTTGTCTCTTGCATGCAGGTAGACTGCTGAATCTTGTCCCGATGGGTTTGTTCTCCTCTTGTTCTCAAAGAAAAACAAGAAAGTCCAGTTGGCTCTTGAAGAAGCACCTTTGGGGTGCCCTGTATTGTATTATACTGCTACCATGTTTTTCTTGTGAATTCATACTAGTCTCTGATTCCCACAGACACACTCCAAGAATTCCTAGGTGTCAATAAATATCAACAAAGCTGGAGCCTTGTCTTAGAATCCATGCAGCATTCAAACATCAACAGGTAACTTTCGTTGTATGATACCAAGATAGGAGAATGAATCAATATTTACACCGGGCAGAGCCATCAAATAAAATACAAGTAGTCCTCAATTTAAGACCTCAATTGGGGCCAGAACTGTCATCAGTAAGTCAAGTGAGAGGTTTCCCACTTTTTTACTTCAGTCATTAAACAAATTTGGCTTCCCTCATTGACTTTGCTTGTTGGAACCCAACTGGGAAGCTTGTGAATGCCATGAACACATAACATAGAATAGCAGAGTTGGAAAGGGCCTTAGAGGTCATGTAGTCCAAGGGTCTTCAAACTTGGCAAGTTTAAGACTTGTGGACTTCAACTCCCAGAATTCCTGAGCTAACATGACTGGAGGAGGAATTCTGGGAGTTGAAGTCCACAAGTCTTAAAGCTGCTAAGTTTGAAGACCCCTGATGTAATCCAACCCTCTGCTCGAGCAGGAGAATCTATACCATTTCAGATAAATAGCTGTCCAGACTCTTCTTGAAAGCAACCAGTGATGGGGCACCCATAATCTCTGGAAACAAGCCATTCCACTGTTTGAGTGTTCTCACAAATTGGGAAATTTCTAGTTTTAGTTGCTTCTCTCTGATTAGTTTCCATCCATTGGTTCTTATCTTGATTTCTGGTGCTTTGGAAAGTGGGTCAAATACATGACCCTGGGGTGCTGCAACCCTTGTAAATCCATGCCAGTTGCCAAGTATCTGATCTTTTTTGATCATGTTACCTTTGAGAAGCTTTGATGGTTATAAGGGCAAGGACCCATCCTGGGTCACTTTTTTCAGTGCCATTCTAATTTCCATCAGTTGCCAAACTGTCAGAAGGTGAGGCCTACCTCTAGCACAGGATCTTGAAAGATAAAATTGAATCCTAGGTTTAGTAGGATAGGCAGGACCTACAGAGGGAGGACTTTGTGTTTAAGCCATTTCATATTTTTTCTCCCATTGCGTAAGTTCTTTTCCTGTAATGATTCTGCTCAGTCTAAATAAAATGATGCTATAAAATATCACTCCCCAGATTGATGCTGGCTGTTAATATGATGTGTTAAAATCCTAACATCTCGTTGTGCATGAGATTAGCGGGTGCTCATATAAACAGTTGGCAGTATCTTGCAGGCTTTGGCTGATCTTGAAAAAGCAAAGCGGGTTGAGATCTATTTATTCCTTGGATTTAGTTCCCAGATAGGAAACCACCTCAGTGTTGTAGAAGAAGACAAGAGGCAACTTCCATATTGTTGCCAAGAAAACTATGTGGGTTTATCTCATGATGTCTTGACTTTACTATTCAACAAGCCGCACCATTAAGCCATTTTTAATGCTAGAGTGTTCATCTCCTTGGCTATTCATACTTGGATACACACTGGCCCATCGTGTTCTGACCAAGGCTTATTGAGACACTAACAAATACATGTTAGTTCCAAAACCCTTTTTTCTTTATTTCAGCGGCTGTGAATTATAGTCATAATGAGTTTCAAACAGTTTGTAAATAGTCCCATGGAAGTCTGCCAAAGTCCTTCAAGATAAGTCTGATAAGCAAACACCTTTATCTTCCTTGAAATTCTGCCAACGAGTCAATTTCCAATTCAACACAGAGCTTCAGGTTTCAAACCAACCAGTACGAACAAAGTTGCTTCCTGCAAAAGTTCCTGTCCCTTTGCTCCTTTATGTCTTATGGGAGGGCCAATCACCTCCAAGCCTTATTCCCAAATTTCCCCCTTTGTCTTAACTGTTCTTGCCTTCTGGCAGCTCTGCGCATGGGCGCACTGGGAACAGGCTCCTCCTGTTCCTCTGCCTCAATGCTGTCAAATTCTGGAGGCTCTGGAGTCAGCACATAACTCCCAGATGGCCCTGGCTCCATCTCTGTATCAGATGCAGAACCCTCGTCCAAGTCCTCCCCATATTCACGGACTAGACTATGTTCCTCCTCACTGTTTGACTCTGCCGGCTGCCAGCGGACTACAACACATTGATTCAAAATCTTTCTTTCTTTTCAGGCATGTCATTTATTCCCTCATGGACATCCTGATGGAGTTTTTGATCCCCGATTCCCCGATGGAGGCGCCCCAAACAACGTCAATAATGACTTCCACCTATGGAGCTGCTGAGAGAGCTAGTAGTTCAGTGTGTTAATTCATATTGTGAGGCACAGAGAAACCTCCTAGACATGATCTCATACGATTCATTGCTGTTGGTCTAATCCAGGATCTGTTGATGAAGGACCAATAGATAGAAAGAATTCTGGTAGAGATCAGTGACTCCTGTCAAAGATGTTCCTGAGTTGTTTCTACACAATAAAATAGTATCGGTTTGAGAACCTGGAAGAATTGCAAAGGAGTTCAGAATGAAAAGAAATAACCTCTTGAATGTTAATAATCTGGAGAATAGGATAAGACTTGAGCTACATTCCTGGATAGATGTAATTTTGCTTTCTGCATGTTTTGTTTTAATTTACAGGAAGTTTTGGTGCTCCCAATGTACTTATATGGGTATTCCAACATATGTCCTCTCTGTTTTTTTCCTTCCCAACAAAACCATTCCAGTGAGCAGCAAATGAAAATTCATCCCTGTTTTTGCTTTTTATTCTGTACATCATGTATTTGTCCTTGAAACTTGACAGTATTCCTGGAATCTTAGAACTACCAAGTGAAGAAGGTTTGATTGCATTCCAAAATTGATGCAGTTGGCTCAAGTCACTTGTGTCTGAAGAGATGACAGAACCCGACTCAATCATTTTGCTGTTCAGCTGGCTTGGAAGAAGTTTGTTGCTGTTTGGTTAACCATCTAGGATGCTATTACTCATGTAGATCATTGGGATAGTTTTCATTCTTTTATGTCAGACCTCTGACAGCGAAAAGGAGGCTGGGGGCGATGCACACAAGTGAGGTTAAGTCAGTGGGTGACATCCCCTGAAAATAAGACCTGGTCCCTTTTTTGGCAGCCAAAAAAATTATAAGACATGATCTTATTTTGGGGGAAACACAGGTATATGCACCCAACTAAGGGTTTAAGGAGGTGTTCATGGATTCTTAAGAGTGGAGAGCTCTGTTTGTCAGCCTAGATTTAAGTATGTTTTCAGGGGAAAGAGTCCCCGAATTGAGTACATGTCAAAATTAAAGTTATTTGTCTACATCTTGGGCGTATTTTCTCTTGACATGTTTGGAAAGATGCAAAAATCACCCAGAATAAATATCTATGGAGATTCTCAGTCATCCAGGTCAGGGGTCCCCCATCCTGGGCCACAGCCTATTCACAACCAGGCCATGTGAATGGTGGGCTGGCATGCACAGGCAGCTCAACTTGTGTGAGTGGCGAGACTGTGTGCATGAACGCACATGTGCAGCTCAACTTGCAGAAGTTGTGCTGTGCACACATGCACATGCATGATGGCCTGCTGTTTGCGCAAATTGAGTTATTTACATGCCAGCTCACTGCTTGCACTGCCCGGTTCCCCCCCCCCCCCCACACCATTGGGCTACCAAGCCACAAAGATTGGGGGCCACTGATCCAGGTCATGATTATACTGAATAATGGAATAACAAGAGTTGGAAGGGACTTTGTAGGTCATCTAGTCCAACTCCCTGCCCAAGCAAGAGACCCTACGCCATTTTTGACAGAAGGCAGTCCAGTCTCTTCTTGAAAGCCTCCAGTGATGAAGCTCCCACAAGTTCCGGGGGCAGCTTCTGTTCCATTGGTTGACTGTTCTCACGGTCAGAAAATTTCTCCTTATTCCCAGGTTGAATCTCTTCTTGATCAGTTTCCATCCATTGTTCCTTGTCTGGCCTTCAGGTGCTTTGGAAAATAGCTTGACCCCCCCTCCTTTCTATGACAGCCCCTCAAATATTGGAACTGAAAAAGCTTGGATGAGAAACAGTGTTTTCAAAGAAAAATAAAACAAGAAAGTCCAGTTGCCTTTTGGAAAAACGCACCTTTGGGATTACTCAGAGGAGGGAAAACACTTTGATAAATGACTTTTCAGGGTCTGCCGAGTTTAAAAGCTCCATTGGGGAGGACGAAGAATGTGGGTGATCGTGGCCACCAGATGAGAAAGCCAAAGAAAGTTCATGCTGGAGTTCTCTGGTGAGCCTCATCAAAGCTCTTCCATCCTTTGTTACACCTTGGTCTTGGACAACTGTCTATCCAGAAATGATCCTCATTCTGTGCCCTCAACTGTAGAGAACTGAGTCCAGGATCCAGTCAATGAAAAAGCAGAATCAAACAAATACTAGGAGCAAAGAAAGTGTATGTGATGTACTAAAATGTCCTAGGCACAATTTAGGGGGAACTCCCCTCACCCCCCCAAAAACCCCTCACTATCACGGTTCCAAGTAAATACCCACAGCAAACAAAACTCCAAGGCAGGTACATTCCTAAAAGAATAACTATTGGATATGCTATATTGGCACGGGCCGGTGAAAACCGGCTCTAAACATTCCCACAGTTTTCACCTAATTAAAAGAAGTTTTTCACTTTCTCAAAACAATCGGTCACACAGTCCAATCAGGATACAGTCCAGTTGCTAGGTGACTTCAGTCCCGTCCTTCCAAGCACCTGCTGGAATGTCCTTGGTTCCCAAGAGAAAGTATTTTGTTTTGGCCAGAAACTCTTAACTTACCTACTGCCCCCTGCTATCCCTCAGCTCCAGTTGTGGCAGCCCTGAAGCCTCAAAATGGCCTCAGTCAGGTCAGCTTCAGGGTTGACACTCTCTTTATTTTAAAATGAGAGGAAAATGTACCCTGCAAAGTGCTTGAGTCCTATATAAATCCAGATGATGATTCCAGATGCCCTTGAAAACCGCTTAACTTACTGTATATTTAAAGAACGTTTGCATAGCACACGAAGAAAAGAGAGGGGAAACTCTCATACCCACCACAGCTTCAATGGAGCCGCTTCCTGTGTCAATAATTCTGCGATTAAGCACTCCCATGGATTGTGTAGCAATCCTGTGCAGAGTAATAAGCATCAGGGTCAAATAGGGAACTATTTGACCTGAAACAGCTGAGTAGACGCCATCGCTCTAGTTTAAAGAATTCTGGAGCTGTGGTTTTAATGTGACTTCCCAGCATCTCCACTCCCTTGTTTCAATTATCTTCAATGTTAGACAATAGTTCCTTAGACTGTAGGTTTCCTGTTTCAATTGCCTTTTGTCAATCTTTTGACTGGTAAGCTGTGCTCTTGAGCTCAGGATCTGGAACTCTTCAGGAACAGCTGCAATCAACATGGACAAGAATGAGAGGAGATGTGTGATGTGACTCTCCAGAAAGAGATTGTGTCCATCTACCTGGGGAGGTAATAGGGACATGGTGGCTCGGTGGCTAAGACTCTGAGCTTGTCGATCAGAAAGGTTGGCAGTTCGGCGAATCAAATCCTTAATGCTGCATAATGGAATAAGCTCCCATACCTTGTCCCAGCTTCTGCCAACCTAGCAATTCGAAAGCACATAAAAAATGCAAGTAGAAAAATAGGGACCACTTTGGTGGGAAGGTAGCAGTGTTCTGTGCGCCCTCAGTATTTAGTCATACCGGCCACATGACCACAGAGACGTCTTCAGACAGCGCTGGCTCTTTAGCTTTGTAACAGAGATGAGCACCGCCTCCTAGAGCCGGAAATTACTAGCATGTATGTGCAAGGGGAACCTTCACTTTTATCTACCTGGGGAGGTGGTACAGGTGTACATTTTATTTCCTTGGTCCTGCCTTCAAGGAAGTAAAGGTAGCATCTGTCCTGCTATCACAGCATCTCCTATGGGTGGAAGTTAGGATTGGAATGAAGAAGCAGAATTACGTATGTGGTAGCTAGTTGGTTGGGTCTAATGGTGAAGGCACCAGGCTAGAAACCAGGAGACAATGAAAGCCAGATGAGGCAGGAAAGCCAGATGGGTGATTTGGGGCCAATCACAAGAGACAGTTTTAGTCCTGCTTTAGTTATGAAAGCTAGCTAGGTGTTTGGGCCAATCACCAGGAGACAATGAGTTATAGTTCTGCCTTAGCCATGAAAGCTGGCTGGGTAACTGAGCTAATCACTAGGAGTCGGTGAATTCTAGTCCCACCTTAGATATGAAAGCTAGCTGGGTGACTTTGGGCCAATCACACTCAGCCCAATTCACTTCACAATGGAGGTGGAAGGATTAGGAAGAATTAGATATGTTTGTGCCTTGAGTTGTTAATAAAAATAATAAAAGTGGGACATAAATAAGTAACAAATAATTAAAAATACCTACTAGTGAAAACATTGAGCAGAGGATAATGTTCAAATATCCACTCCCTATGTTGTCTTTTATTTTAGTTTTATATATTTTTATTTTTAAACATAAGTATTGAATACATGAACAGTGTGGCATCTGGGTATCGTTAGTTTTGGTACACAAATGATAGTGATAATATTGATAGTATTAGTTACACTAATCATGCACACAAAATTTAATTAATCATTCTAAATATTAAAATTAAAGTTGTTGACATGCAAGCGTTGGCTCCATTCTGTATATAATCCATCATTTAATTGTTTAATATTTTAATACACAATACTAATAACCATAGTGATAGTAATTAACTATACATAATAGGAACATCTTTCAGCCTCTGTTCTTTACATCTACATATTAATTTTAATGTGTTATATAGAAATATGCTCAATAATATTTCCCCCTTTCTAGTTTCTACCTCTCTATGTTGTCTTGAGTTTGTTGGAATAGAATAGAATAGAATAGAATAGAATAGAATAGAATAGAATAGA